TTCAAAAAAAGAAAAAATATATTTTGAAAATAAGTTCAAGAATGATTGTAATTAGCTTTTATGTTACCTCTTTCCAATGATCGCTGACACAAAACAGACGGATGCAGAAAAATAATTTAGTAAAAGACATTCTATAGTTTGATGGTTGTCTCATCATGGAAATCATTAGAGTTCACAAACATTTTATCAGAGAATTCTTAGTATACGTTGCTTTTAATAGTTTTAGAAAAAGTTCCTAATTATAAATGGTTCTAATAGTAAATATTTTTGATAGTATGTATTTTTGATAGTGTGTATTCAGGATAACATGTATTTCTGATAGTATGTATTTTGGATAGTATATATTTTTGGTGGTATACATTTATCATTGTTTGTATTTTGGATAGCATGCAGCTTTGATAGTAAATTCTGCTCCATTCATTATAGATATTTCTATCTATATCTTTTCTCATTTAGAGAAATTGATACTTACAGACATTCCTATTTATGACCATTTGTAATTACAGACATTTGTATTCGCAAACATTCGTATTTACAAACATTGTCTTAGTTACGTACCATTATTATTCACGAACTTCTTATATTTTCAAAAATTTTAAACCACATATTATTGTGGACAATAGGAAAAATACGTTATAAAAGGGGAAAAAAAAAAGAAAGTACTCCTTACTGTAATTTACTCAGAAAACATATACGAAGCATTAGGAATGAATAAATATTATTGTTGGATAATTCTGAGTATGGAATGGGGGTTGTAAGAAAAAAAGAAATATTATCCAATTTCTGAAGAATGAAAAATTAAAAATAATAGCATGTTTTCCTCCTCCAAACATTACATGAATTTACTTTTAATTGAGTTAATTTTTCTTGAGCATTGAGAAGAGAATTAAAATAAAAGTTCCGTTTTGCATTACATATTACTCTATTATTCGAATTAATCAACTGTCAAATTCTTTCAGAGAAAAAAAAATAGTATACTACATGAATAGTCACATGTAAGCAACATTTACGAAATTATTTATTATACGAAACAATAGTAAATAAAAGAAATAGGAGAAATTGCTACAATGTAAATTTACCTCTATACGTAGGAAAAAAAAGGAAAAATTAATGAATGCTCTATTATTATTCTTATGATGGCAGATGTAAACAAATAATTTT